ATTATTTTAACCACGCATTCTACGACCGAAAATAATAAACCTATTTTGCTTTATAAACGATAGTCCAAAGAACCTTCGTTGCGTATTTACAGGGCGTTGAAATTTAATTTAAAAAGTAGGAAATGACAAATTTGTTTTGAAAAAATGCTTGCCAGTAGCGTGGGTGCACGCTAGCGAATTTAAAAAAATGGTACGCCACTGTATTGTTTAATTATTACAAATAGTTTTCTAATTCCTTAATCCTCTTGTTATAAAAAAATATTCCATGCATGTTTCTGCTACGGCACAATCCAAATCAGTTCTCCCAATCTTGAGATATGGCACTGGCAAAATTTAACAAAATTATTTTATTGAAAAACATGCGTGTTTCTTAATAATTGATCCATATGGAAAATTTTGTGAACACATCTCGCCGCGTTTTGAACAAATTTATAATTTTATATTTTTTAAATTAAATGTCAACACCCTGTAAATCTGTAACGCAGCATTTTTGGGCTATGGTTTATATAGCAAACTCGACTTATGTTCGTACCTAGAATACGGTGTTAAAATTATGCCCCTTCCTCATGAAACAGCTTGTTAACTGAAAGAAATAAGATTTTTAACTCTTACTATTGTAGTTTGGTCTTAAATTTTAATCAAACACACATAATTTTAGAGTGTTTCACCGCCACCAAAACCAAAACTTGTTGAGGACCTTGTTAGTTGAGCTAAAACCACGTTTTCGTTCAACTTGACAGTTCAAATACACATTTAAAACTGAAGTTCTAATGAAAACAATTATGATCAAGATAAGTGGGTGCAAATAAAAGAATGTAGGTTTTTAAACAATTGAATGTGTGCTGGAAAAATTACACGAACCGGCAGACTGTGCCGTGCCAAGTGCAAAAATGACATTAAAGATAAGCGTTAAAATATATTAATTATTACAATAGTTGCATAAAGAATCTGTGACACAGTGACTCATGTAAGATAATTACATGGATCTTAATCTAAAATTTATCATCGAGTTTTGAGAACTCATACTCAAATAACACTTTAGAGTTATAAAGTGAAGGCGTTCGCCAATATTTGTAGTTAATGAATAATTTACATTTTGCAGTGTAATTATTTCAGAAATTTATAAAAATTAAAACTATTTCTTGTATGTTTGAAATGTGACAAAAAATAGATTTAACACATAAATAAATGCATGTAAATACCCATTGAGACGTTTAAAACCTATGCATTTATTTTAGGTTTCCCCATATATAATTTTTGACGTCTTAAACACCTCGATTCATCTACCTTGAAACATTCATGTATGCGTTTGGGTTTTTTTTCTTTAATTTAATTTCCACTTGACAATTTTACTGACCCAGAAAATGTTGCTACACCACGTATACGTAGATTCAAGTAGAAAATGTTTAGGTCAATTCCTAATAATAATTCAATTTAATAATTAAAGTATTAATTACTTGAAATTAAATTTTTCAAATGTATAGTGGGGGGTAAAACGTCAATTTGATCACTAATATTTACTACATTTATCTATTTTATATTATATAAAATAATACATTTGTGGATAATATAATAAATATATCATATTCATGTATTTTTCCTTACAAAGATTTATAGTTTTTGTGAATTAAAAACTGGTTTACAATATAAATAACGTTCTAAAGGCTACGTTACGACCTAATGCACAAGAAGTCCACTGGCAAATTTTTGGCGGTTTTGTGCATAATAGTTGCAAATATACCATAATTCAGGTGACGATTTAAACTAAATATTCTGGATGAGGAAAACTTCTAAAGTATGTCCATTATCTTCACAAAATAGTGGAATGACTCATATATTAACATTAAGGGGGAATACAATATTATCAGTACACTTTTCTAACATTTTGCGGTGGCAAGAAATATAACAGCAATAATAAAGGGAAATCACACGTCGTTTCATATATATTACATGGGAGTTTTTGCGAAATTATTGCTGCGAAAAAGATATTAATTATAATGTTTATATTTTTATAATGCATAGAGTGTTGTTTCATTTAATCTGTATCTTTGATATATTGACAATCAGAACTAGAATTTTATCGTATACATATACAAAATGCACAAATTCCATTCGAGACGTTCACCCATAACTAACGTTAGGAAAGCGTTTCTACTTCTTAAATAGCTTTCAAATTAATTTAAATCGTATCTATTAATACGGAAATGTCATAGTACATTGAACAGGATTTGCCCTAATTGTTCAATGTGAAACCTGTCCAGTACTTCAGATAATTGAACATGCAAATATTGATCATCTATCCGCCACACTGGTTGATAAGTGGATCTTTGATCGAATGGTTATTAATTCTGGATATGTTCGTCATTTGCAGTTGCTATTGTGGATATACAGAGATAATCGCTTTATAGTTGAAGATAATTAAGAAGAGTTAACATTGTCCGGCTCTGCTCACTTACTGTCATAGAAAATAACTCAATTAGCTGTTAATTTCAAATGCTAATTAATTATAATATTCTCAGAACGCCCGTGTAAATGGTTATTCGCACTGTACTTTGGTCAGATTACAATTAAATAATTTTTAAAAGCGGTTATTTTAGTGGTGTATTTAATCCTAGTAGAGTTGCAATCAGTCATACCGTCATACGTTCCTCACCAGAATGTTTATCATTCATGCCGCTTTAAAACACAGTCTGTTTCTAGTTAAGCCGAATTGATGAGAACTAGTAGATCCAAAACTGGTTCTGGGAGTGCTTGCTTGTGACTAGCGATAAATTCGTACTTAAGCAATATAAGCAAATCGTTCAGAGAAAATTTGCAAAAAATGCAGGATATCTTGAAGTAATGTCGATATATGAATCGCTTCAAAGGTGAAAGAAAAAATTGTTTTTTAAATTGATTTTTTACTTTCATTTAAAAACAAAGAAAATTGAAAAATTCTTCATTGAAGATTATTTTCAAAACTACTTATTGGCATGTCGGTCTTATACTAAAACATGTTTATTTAGATTATTCCAAATGAAAATGGAGGTGTGAAGAGTATCTGATTCAGTTTTTAGACAAAAATGCTAACACGAAAAACTTTTTATTTTGGGGTGACTTATTGGTCACTGGGTATGCATCACGAAAATATAACTAAACGTAATTACTATAAAAATTAGGATTCAAAAATTTACTCGTCTAGAATCATACAAAATCAGCAGAGGTCCATGTATTATTTACATAGTTTTTAATTCTTTCACGGACATTTGAATTTATAATTGTTTGTTTATACTTGAATTATCAAATCGTGTGGATTGCAAGGAGGCCTAGGTAACACTGCGTTGAGTTGCGCTTTTGAGTTGATGCCGCTCTGTCAATTGCTGAGTCTAACTCATCGAGCCTCAGTGCGCCGCACCTCGAATGGCGGATGTGGCAAAATAATTCTTGAAATCAGAACTTTTAAAAGATATTTTTCATTAGTTAAAATTGCGTTGGTTTTTATCATCGCTTGCAAATTGAGCAACAGATTAATTTTTAAGTGATTTTTTTGCGTTTTTTTTTTGTTTAGTCAATATTTTTCGAAGAACAAAATTAATTCGGTTTTTAATTTTATTTTTGGCATTGTGCATTAATCACTGCAGCTGAGTGAAATTCAAATGCATATAAATGGCTCTAAATGTAAATTTAGCGAAAGACCGGTACTTGGAGCGGTTTTCGTTTACTTATTTTTTTACTGTTGACTTTCGTTAAGTTGGAACGTGAAATTTGCCTTTGGAAATATTGCAATGCGAACAAGCACTTTCTACAAAAACATCAACAATAAACAAACTAAAATGGAACTTCCAATTAAAGCATGAATCATCGAAAGGGCGAACTATTAAATGATTAAATAATGATGTTTGTTCTGTACTTAGAGAGTGCAGAATAAGAAAGAGTTTGGAGTTGCATAAGATCGTTTATTTTCAAATAAACATTTACGAAGCACGCAAAATTCACCATTTCGTGCGATTTGAATGAACTTTTGAAGGCTTAAAGAGGTATTGTCGACTTTTAGAGCACACTCACTCTTCTTTGGTGAACGCATAACTCTGAACTTAAAGAGTATTTTTCGTTTAGAAAAAATTAATTTTTGAAAAAATCAATTCAAAATATGTGCTGTGTTCTTTCAAATCCTTTTTTTCAAATTCAATTCAATCCAAATTTTCTTAAAGTTCGAAATTTTGTCGAAATTTACAGCACACTCTTCTATAGCGAACGCACAACTCTGAACTTGTAGAGTATTTTTCGTTTCTCAGTTTTTCGTTATAATCATCGCGTCTCACTGTGCCGCACTTTAAATTACGCTTAGCATTTAACCCAGGGACGGATTAAAGCTTTACGAGGCCCGGGGCCGGAATTTCAACACCTAACAAACAAAAAGTTTAAGTACCACATTTTTTAGGAGCTAAATTTTATCAAATGGGTGAACTGGGTTACCCATGCCTAATTTCTAGTAGGTACACAAGTAATTTACCACCTTGCTTTGGAAAAAAAATTATATTTAGATTATTGCTAGAGTTCTTTTTCTTCAGAGAATATGAATTTATATCTTTATCGTGCTACTTTGGATCAGTTAAATTTTAGTAAACAAATTTCCTAGAAAAAGTCATTACATAATAATAAACTTTTAAGACATAAAATAATATTTTAAAGTATGAATGTTTAAAAGAAGTTTTAATATATGAAGGTCGAATTTGGATTCTCATCAAGCATTCACTGTTCGAGCTGAAATATGTGACAGTTACCCTTGTGTTTTCTTGTATAAAACAAAATAAATATAAGTAATGGATTAAAAACGAAATGTTATATATCCTAAATAGTAAATTTTAACAAACTAATGGATAGAAACAATATTGTACATTGTATATTGTCACATATGCGAATAACAGGGCCTAAAGATAAGAATACATACAATTATGTACTTTGATTTTTTCAAACCTTGTTAAAAATTTTGACGACATTCGTTAAACACAGAATTCAACATTATGTGCAAATTCACGTTCACACAAATTTAAATTAGATATGTTTACTCCGAAAGCATAGCAATAACTTACGATATGCATGTAAATCTAGAAAA